ACTTACCTAAAATTCACATGCCCTGACCCCACCCCACTTTAGAGACCCAAGATGTAGTAGATTCTGGGGTAGACTCCTGCACATCTTTGAACAAGCTCCTCAAGTCATCATGAGGCCTGACACACCTGGGCCACCCTCTGCTGGATGCTGCCGCAGCGAGCAGCGCTACACTGTGTACCTGTCACTGCTCTGAGGATTGTCCTTCCATGTGTTATCAGCAGTCCTGAGTCACCTGGGAACCTAAATATAGCTCTCATAGCCCCACCCCAGATCTTGTGAGTCAGAACTCCAGGGAAGGGTCCCAGGAGTCTTTTTTTGTTTGTTTTTAAGCCTCTGAGAGCAGCCAGTCTCCCCACTAGCCTTTGGGAGGCCCAGCTGTGCTGTTTGGACTCCTTGAGGAGGATGTAAACTTAAGAGTGAGTGTTTTCAATGTCTTTTTAGGCCAGCTTCACTCCCCATCCCTCTTTAATCCAACAGTATCCTATTCAGAAGTAGTTGTACTCAAGTAAGCAAATCCTTGATTTGTCCGTGATTTCAACTTGCTCTGTAATTTGAACATCCACCAATATTTCTAACTATTGGGTTGGCCCAAGAGTTCATTCAGGTTTTTCCAGAACTCTTGGGCCAACCCAATACATTCCAACACAGCTCATTCTGGTGGCTACTTTCTTTGTCATCTTTTGTATCTAGAAATTTAAAATATGTCTCCCAGGTCAGACTGGACAGCACTGGAGGTAATGTCCACCCCACCGTACTCAGGTTCACCTGCTCAGCCTTCGCATTGAACCCGTGCTGGAGCACTTGGCTTTGGCTGTCCTCAACTTCATATGCATACACTCGCTGGTCTCCAGAGCATCCCCAGGGATGGAGACAGGCCTGACCACTTGCTCTGGGCACCCGCATGGGCTTTGCAAGCTGTTGGGGAGGGTGTCTCCCTAGTTAGACTTCTGGGTCCAGTAGCCTTGCCCTACTGCTGTTTGGTCTTTTTCCTGAAACTGTATGTGGACAGCTTTACAAGCCAACCCAAATTGCATGGACAGATGAGCCTGGTGGGCTACAGTTCACAGGGTCACAAAGAGTCAGACATGACTGAGTGACTAACACTTTCACTTTCATGGGTGAGAATTTTTAATACCACAATCCTCAAAGTACTACCAAAGATAAATAATTGAGAGAGGGGGCTGGCTGTAGTTGCAGCATTGTATTCCTTAGCTGGACTCCAAGCTAGCCTCCGAGTGGTGAGGGATCCCTGGTGGTTGATAATGGCCCAAAGCAATCCTCTTGGTTTACCTGTTTCTTAAATGCTGAGTCCCCGTGGGGTGCTCTTTCTGGGCTTTGGACAGACAGCCTGTGCTGTGCTGTGCTTGGTCGCTCAGTCGTGTCTGACTCTCCTCAACCCCATGGACTGTAGCCCGCCAGGCTCCTCTGTCCAGGGGAGTCTCCAGGCAAGAATACTGGAGTGGGTTGTCATGCCCTCCTCCAGGCGGTCTTCCCAGCCCAGGGATTGAACCCAGGTCTCCTGTGTTGCAGGCAGATTCTGAGCCACCAGGGACAGCCTACCGGTAGCCTTTTGGAGTATGTTGTTTCTGTATTCTTTGCAGACATTGTCAAGGCCGTTAGTCACATAGAATCTGGAAAGAAGCAGTGTCATCTGGGCAGGCCCCGGAGGCACTTGCCACCTTCACAGCCTTAGGAGTCTTGCCTCTGGAAGAGCTACAGTTGCATTCTGATGTCAGATGTGAGACACCATTAGTAATCAGGAGGAGTCCCTTGGGATATCCTGTTCCCAGGTGAAAGCTGCTTCCTCTGGAGTACTTGTTCTGGGCAGGAGGCCTCATTGTGGTGACCCAGGGGTGTGAATAACCCTGGAGATGCGAAAATGAGGGATTTCTAATGAGCTCTGACAGTCCAGGGGCTGAAGGATTCTGACCTCTTTTTTCCCCTGCCCGTCCAGCCTTCATACAAATGTAAATATGCCTCCTTCCACAAATTGACAGATTGCCAAATGTGGTTTTAGTTTGTAAGCAGGAGACCCTGACTTGCGTTTTTCTTTCTTCTTTTTATTTTTGTTTTTCTTTCTTTTTTTGAAAATATGAAGTCACAGGCTTTGCACTTTTTGAGCTGGACATTTCCTTCTGTCACTCTTGCTGCTGCTATTGTTTTTCTCTTCCAAGGACATTTTCCTCCATTGTTGTCAGAAGAATTCGGGATGAGAGTCCATTGTCCTGTTTCTTTAGAGGTGTTTTTGAAGTTCCCAAAGGAAATGCAGAGTGCTCTTTAAGCTTAAAAAATAAATATATAGAGGCAGCAGTTAAATCCAGTGTGAGATGCGAAGAGTGTCTGTATCACAGCCTCATGTTTTGTGGTCTGTGCAGTATCCATTGTTGTTATTTATGACCCTGTCTCCCTCCATTGTGGGCTTCTTCCAGCCTTGGGGAATTTACATCATTCCTAATAGCAAAAGGCTTTCTGGTTCCCACAGAGTTGTTCAAAGCCTGACTCATGCTCCTTATGTTAATTGTGCAGCTCTGAAAATACAGCACTTTACAGGGTGTGGTTGTAAGGGGGAAATCTACTGTACTTACAGGGCATGTTTAGAAGCGTTTCACACATAAATCTCAATCTCTCTCTCTCTCCCTCTCTTTCTCTCTCTGTCATTTAACTTTTAAACTAATACTTTTGGGTCAACAAACCTAGACAGTGTATTAAAAAGCAGAGACATCGCTCTGCCCATAAAGGTCCGTATAGTCAAAGCTATGACTTTTTTGATAGTCTGTACGGATATGAGAGTTGGACCATAAAGAAGGCTGAGTGCCAAAGAATTGACGCCTTTGAATTGTGCTGTAGAAGACTCTGAGAGTCCCTTGGACATCAAGGAGATCAAACCAGTCAGTCCTAAAGGAAATCAATCCTGAATATTCATTGGAAGGACTGATGGTGAAGCTGAAGCTCCAATACTGTGGCCACCTGATATGAAGAACTAACTCATTGAAAAGATCCTGATGCTGGGAAAGATTGAAGGCAGGAGGAGAAGGGGACAACAGAGGATGAAAAGGTTGGATGGCATCACTGACTGAATGGACGTGAGTTTGAGCAAACTCCAGGAGATAGTGAAGGACAAGGAAGGCTGGCATACTGCAGTCCTTAGGGTTGCAAAGAATGGAACATGACCTAGCGACTGAACAACAGGAAGTCTTAAGGGAAAGAAAAGAGACTAGCATTAAAATGCAGTGAAAGTGAAAGTCTCTCAGTTGTAAGTCTGACTCTTTGCGACCCCATGGACCATATGGCCTATGGAATTCTCCAGGCCAGAATACTGGAGTGGATAGCCTTTCCCTTCTCCAAGGGATCTTTCCAACCCAGGGATTAAACCCAGGTCTCCCACATTGCAGGTGGACTCTTTACCAGTTGAGCCTTAAGGGAAGCCCCCAAATGCAATATAATCCAGTAAGACCAATAGTACTCTGTCCACTGACTGTTAAAACTGACTTGGGTTACACCTAGACCCTGAGTGGCATTGGTCCAGGTCTGACCCTCAGGAGAGTTCGTGAGAGCAGAAGGTTGGTGCTCAGTGGTGCAGGGCAGTGGTTGGACGAGGCTCATAGCGTCGCTCTGTGGGACGTGCAGGCATTATTCCAATGGCTGCAGCCTGCTGGGCTGTCTGGGGTGTCATTCTTACTTCCAGTGTAGGTCTGCTGGCACCTTAACAATACCATTCCTTGTGGCAGCAACATTTTACTATGAAATTTGATGGAGAAGGGTACTGAGAAACGTACTAGAAATTAAAAGAATTTAACACCTTGTCTGAATTATCTATGTGCTAACAAAAAGGAAACAACTTTCCAAAAGAAAGAAATAGGTTAATTTTGGTGATGGTGGGAGATTTTAACTTTTTATAGTTACTTCTTCATGAAGCTTCCATGTGTAAGGATAGATAACCTAAGAATTATCTAAAACCATGTTAGTGCTGTTAGTTTAAAGGGGAAAAGACTCGAGAGTTTCTTAGTAACCAGGAATCTCAAACTCTGGTTTTCAAAGTACCAGTATTGAAAGGCTGAACTCTTGACATTTTTTGCAAAGGCCATACTCTATTTTTATAGACAGAGAAGATGTAAGAATTCTGAGGCTCATCAGGGTACAGACCACTGTGCCCCCAGGTCTCTCTGGAAGGCCAGGCCCACGGCCACGTGGTCACCTGGTTCCTGACTTGGGCATCGTCACATCCGGGGCCTCAGAGCTCTCAGTTCTAGCTGAGAGTTCCCAGATGGCTTGGAGTCACCATCTTGCATGTTTGTGGCACACATTCACAAATGAAACGTGTACTGGGAATCCAAGAGAAGTGATGGTGTTCAGTCAACAATTTGGGTTTGTCTCAGTGACCCCATGAATTGCAGCATGACAGGTGTCCCTGTCCTTCACCATCTCTTGAAGCTTGCTCAAACTCATGCCCATTGAGTGGGTGATGCCATCCAAACACCTCATCGTCTGTCGTCCCCTTCTTCTGCCTTCTATCTTTTCCAACATCAGGGTCTTTTCTAATGAGTTGGTTCTTCACGTCGGGTGGCCAAAGCATTGGAACTTCAGCTTCAGAATCCGTCCTTCTAATGAACATTCAGGATTGATTTCCTTTCGGACTGAGTGGTTTGATCTCCTTGTAGTCCAAGAGACTCATAAGAGTCTTCTCCAGTACCACAGTTTGAAAGCATCACTTCTTCAGTGCCCAGCCTTCTTTATAATCCAACTCTCAGATCCGTACATGACTACTGAAATAACCATAGATTTGACTATATGGACATTTTTGGCAAAGTGATGTCTTTTTTAATACACTGTTTAGGTTTGTCATAGAACATTCTAAATAAAAAAAAATTAAAATAACCTAACACTATGTAGTTTCCTCCTGTCCTCACCAAACTAAATCTGTTCACTGGGGCATTTGGAGAGGAAATGTTTTCCTCCTGTTCAGTTAACAGATTACTGGTTGACTTTGTTGTCTTTTGCAGCAGCCGGGAAGAGCTCTCCATGGAGCGTCGGGGGATCGTACTGGCTGTGTGGAACAACTACTTCCTCCTGGGGCAGAGCCCAGGAGAAACGTTCTGCGAGAAATGTAGGTCCCATGGGTTTCCTCTTCTTCTCTCCAAACTGTGTAGTTGGGGACACAACATGAGGGCTAGAATGCAGCAGGACTGCATGGACCCTAATCACAGAAGCCCCTCTGGCACTGATCCTGTCCAAGGTCATAGAGTTGGGACTTTTTCACCTTCCAGACTTTCCTCTTGCTTTCTGGACATTGGGAAACAAGGCCTGGCTTCACAGGTATGTTGCAAGGAGTAATTAGTGACAAGCACTTTGAAGATGAAAAGCACCTGTTGATGGTGTTCCTTACAACTTTCCAGGCAACCCCAGACAGATCGGGAAACGTACGGTACTTTCCTCAGAGACCTCTTCTGACCCTCATGTCATTATGATAATCTTTGGGAGAATGATAGCTGTAGTAAGAATATGAATCCATGTATTGGTTTCCAGATGAAAGCTTAACCTAAAGAAATATTTCAGCCTCGATATTTTCAGTTTGGTGGTTCAGGAAACTTCTTTTCATTCACAAGTCTACAAATATATGCCAAAATCTCTGGTCTGTAAAATCTCCCTGGCCAGCTTCTATCCTGCCCCTCCAAGTGAATGTCGCACAGTACAATCTGCATTGTCTGTTGTATGTGTGTTATAGAAAAGGGAAAGTTTAGAAAGTTTCTGTGTGTTATAGAAAAGTTTGTGTGTGTGTAAAAGAACATGCTGTATGTACACACACACACACACACATACACACAGCCTGTGCTTTGTGTATATGCTTCTGGGAAAAAAGTCAATATATCAAATATAGGTAATATTAATATTTAACATCTGAAATGAATGCCTCTCTGCCTTAGTTAAAATATGAACTCCATTATAACGCCATTGTTAACCAGTGATCAGTAAGTAAAGTGTGCCCAATGTGCGGGAAGCTGTGACAGCTCTCGCGTGATCCAGTCTGCATATCAACAGACACTTGGGGTTTTTTGTGAGATTGGCCAGTGGGGTGAGGAGAAGGGAGGTTAACATGTGCCTCCTACTTCAAGTGTGAGAAATATGACATGGGGACTCCGAGGGAAACCTGGCCAGCACAGCTTTACAAATCAAAAAATTCTTTGTTTGTTTTAGTGCGAACAGAACTGAGACAAAAAGCAGTGCCGTGAGCAGATCTCGGAGCAACAGGGACAGTGTGGGAGCACCCAGTGACTCGGTGGCTGCAGAGGGAGCATGGAGGAGGGGCGGCCGGCCAGCCTCATCCAGCCCCCCGGCCATGGGACAGGCGGAGGACAACAGGAAGGCATCTGAGACCCACCAGGGGCTTCCTGCTCTGAAGCTGGAGAAAGGTCATCAGGCCTGGCCAGGAGCAGCAGAAACCTCATCCCAGGGTGCGGTTGCAGACCAGGCTTCTAAGCAGGAGCGTTGTCTGTGGCTGTGAGTCAGCATTCTTGGGTCCAAAGCAAGAGTCCACGAGGGGCCAGAGCACCGCAGAAACGCAGGAAGCACAGCCCTGCAGAAGACGCTGGCCACCACAAGAGAGTTTCTCTTGAAAGTGATCGATTAGTCCCGAGGGAAATAATAGTGGGGGAAGAAAGCAAAGCTGTCAGGGTCCTGCCAACTTGAGAGCTGTCAGATCTGGGGTAACTTTTGAAACAAGATTTGGCAGAAACTGCATCTAATGAAGAGTTGCATGTTTTGGAAAACTCTCTCCTCCAGACATCTTACAAAAAATAAGCCAGGGGAAGGCACAACTCAGCCACAAACACTGAAAGCTTAACTCTGACTCAGGGCAGCCCAACCAAAAAAGAAAAGGATGGAAGCAGCTACTTGCTCACAGAAGAGCATTGCAACCCCGGCGTCAAGGGTGTCCTGACCAGACCTGGGACAAGTGAGCAGTGTGCCTAGAAGCCATGACTTAAAGGAATTCAAATGACCATTTTCAGTAGAAAATATGTACCTGCATTGGGCTTAACTTTCAAAGCAGCAGCCTCCAGGAGATTGTTCTGACAGCACCGCTCTTTTCTGGTTCACACTTTAACGTCAGAAACTCACTTTAGTGATAAATAGCCATTGGCTTTGTTGGCAGTGACAGCATCCATAGAGGAAGCACATGAAGAAACCAGTGGTGCGCCTCATCACATCCTTGCATGAAGCTCGCAGTGATCGTGGTGCTCTCTTTGCTGGCCAGTCTTCCTGCCCTGCAGCCTGAGTCAGGCAGCAGTGGAGGAACAGGCTTGCGGGTCACCCCGTCTGCTTGCGGCCCCAGCGTCATATCTGAAAGTGTGTAAGAAAGGCAGAGCCTGGGCCCCCCCTCAGACCTACAGAGTGAGAAACTGGGTGATTCTGAAACCTGCTTGAGGTTGGCAACCCCCGGGCTATTTGGAGAGTCCCTGGGATTGATTTCCTGCAGCCTGACTGTCCTGGCCCCCAGCGTATCAGCAGGGCCCACGTGTAGACCTGGCAGCCGTCACGCCCCCTCAGGTGTGAAGCACTCTGTTCCCAGGTCCTTAAGCATGGTGGCCATAGTGCCCGGGAGCTGTGCCTTTGCGCTCAGAGTTGGAGGACATTTACATATAATTTGGCCTGGCATTAGGGGGAGACGTCCGAGAGGCTTGTTCTTTCTTGTAGTTCAGGCATGTCCCTGCCCCTTGCCCCTGCCCCCACCTTTAAGACTCTGGTCAAGTTCAGAACAGATCCAAGCCCCAGGGGAATTCAGTGGGCAGAGTTTGCAGTTTCCCACTTGGAAGCCTTCACAGGCAGTTTAGATTTCAAACCAGGAGCCTTCCATTTGCAGGATCACCCACTGTTGTCTCCAGTGGGCTTGCTGAAATGTCATGCAGTGAATCATTAGCAATGACTTATTTTGGATGGACAACTACAGTAGATTTTCTTAACCGAGTTTTATTCTGAAATAAGGAAGGAAACTATTCAAAGGCCACCCATCAAATGTGTCTTTTTTTCCTGTTCAACATTGGGTGGTCCTTTGAAAGTAATACCTCCTCCCTAGTAACACGGAAAATCAAGATATTCCCCACAGTGTAGGAGTTAGCAAAAAAAAAAAAAAAAACAGAAAAAGCCCAACAAAATAAAAGAATATGGAAATGGACACAGTGTAAGTTCATGCTTAAGATTAATTAGTGGTTTCTCCCAGCTCATTCTGTCCTTCCCCAGCTCTCCTTTCCTTAGATTGTAGGGCAGGGCTCATTAAGAGGCAGCTGAATTTCATGGCACCATTTTGGGTCATGAAGCTAAGTCTTCCTTGCCATGCCTGGCTGCAGATGCAGGCCCTCTTCTTTGATGTTCCAGACTCTTCTGGAGACCTCTTCCCTTCCTGTGACCCCAGCCTCACCTTCCCCACCAGGAACGTGGCCCTGCCTACTGACATCTCTTCCTCTTCCCTCCGAGCTCTTAATCCTGCCCCAGGTGACTCCGTTCACTGGGCTCCATGGTAGAAGAGGTAGCCCAGCAGAATACCAGCCGCCGTGGAGCGGAGTCCACTCGTCCAGGAAGCGCAGCCTGCACAGGGCAGAGCCCTCCGAGAAGGTGACAGAACACGGTCTGTCCTGAGCCCCCTCTGTGTCACCCGTTCTCTGGCTGTGCTTGTCACTGAAGATGGGCCCACAGTGTGTCATTGAGTCTTAAAGAGAAACAGTTATTGCAGTAGTTTAAGCATAGAGGGCACAAATAGCAACCCAAGTGATAGGCCAAGAAAGAGTGAGCTCCCTGGAAGAATCTGGAATAAGGAAGAACCATCCCAATAGCTGCTGCCTGCCCCAGAACTAGGGGGAGCTATTTGAACTGGAGGCACCAGAGAAAGTTTTTAGCAGGTTTTTATTTCATTAGTTAACCTGGGCCTGGTGGTTAAAGCCAGTACTTGTGTGTTTAATGATTATCTTTCAAGAAAATTCTTGGCTTTAGAGTTTGGTATATTTGTGGATATAACAATGACTGAGTTTGGGTCTTCCCATCTCTCAATGCAGGGCACATGGGTTCAGTCCCTGGTCCGGGAACTAAGATCCCACATGCCGAGGGGCAACTAGAGAAGGCCGTGTGCCACAACTAGAGAAACGCCCGTGCAATGCAGTGAAGAGCCAGTGCAGCCAAAATTTAAAAACAGAAGGGTTGTTTAAAAGCTGTGTCATTGCACTTTTGGCTGTAGATCAGTAGGGTCTCTCTCACAGCCTTCATGTACATGGGTTTTAACAGTACTAGCAAAGGAACCAACTTTCCGCTTCTGCACTGGGGCATGTGTTTGAGCAATTTCACCTTTAAGCATTTTCCTTCCACATGTCTGAAACACCCCTGGTTCTCTTGTTTCTTGAGTGGTTGTTTGATTCTTTGGATATTTGGAAGTTCAGATGGGAAAATGGCTGCCAGGTTTTTTTGTTGCTTATTAGGTGGGAAATGAAGAGTTGGTTCTCTACTGCTGGAAGTGGGTGTGTTTTGATATTCTTGATAATCTTAATAATTCATCTACAAATCTGAGACTCTTGTCAGTATTCTTGGTTAAAAAGAATAAGTTCTTCAGTCACTCACTTAATAACCCAAATTAAATGTATATTCAAGTTCCTGTAACTCTGATGCTTGGAAGAAATATGGATCCTATTGATTGATGTTATAACTTTGAACTCATTAACTTTCTCAATGTCATGGCTTTTAAGTCACCTCCATGTGCTTCCAAATGACTTTTTAATAGATTAGTTTGGGTGTTTCTTTTTTTTTTTTTTTTTTTTAATGTCCATAAATGTCTGAGAACAGTCAGTGTGACTTTTCTTCCACATTTTTCTTTTCTTTGCCTCTGGAGGTTACCTGACATCCAGCCATGCATGTAAATCGTGAAATGCAAAAGAGCAAACTTTTAGGAAGACAGGAATAAATGTTGCAGCTTTTGTTCACTCATTTTAAATGAAAAAAGTGGGAAAATGTTATTTCATTTTATAAAAAGCAAGAGTCCCAAAAATGCTCTGTAGTTTTGTTTATGGAAAACGTGGCTTCTCTCTAAAAAACGTATCTCAGGATGTATCTTGAAAACATCAATAGGATCACTGTTTGCGTTCAGTGCCTTATTTGGACTTTAACCTGAATTGTGCATGTTGGTGGCCTTTGACTTCAGGCCGAGCTGGAGAGGGCAGAGCACGGGAGGGAAGGGAACCATCACGGGAGAGCGCAGGGCCACGGTGCCGCCCTCCCCGTGGCCTTGCATTCGTTCTCGGCAGGCCCCGCTGCAGTCTGACACGCAGTTCTGGTGACTGGTCCTCCCTTGGCTTTCCTGAGCCAGCACAGCCCTCCAGCATGCTGTGCTATGGCTTGCATATAGAAGTCCTTTTCATTTCTTCTTGTCTTTCATGAGGAAATTTCCATGCATGGTTTGTCAGGACAGGAGAGTTCAAACCTTGTTGCTGAAATACAAATCAATTGAAACGTGTTGGAACAAGTAGGAAATCAAAGTTAAGCTGATTTCTGTTAAACAGTTTAAAGTCTTCCTCAGTACCAAATAAATTAAGTGTTGTAAAGTGAAGTTAATTTGGATAATCACTCAGGGCAGAAGTCTAACCATATAGATGATGGGTATTACAATTTATGGTATAATTAGATCCTCAGAAATCTACAGAACTCCCTCTCAGTTTGTTTCTGTATTTACTTAACAAGACATGGAACAAATACTTGTCAATGTGTAGCTGAACTGAGGGGACTTGAGTGGATGAAGTTATTGCCTTTAATTATCAAGAACTACTCAGTTCCAGGGTTAGATTTAATCATGTAAATTGTGTTATGCAGCATGATTGCCATTACAGTTACTTATTTAAAATCTTGTTAATTAAACAAGTCAGTAAAATCAGGAAAACCTTACATTTGATCCCAAAGCACCTAACCAGGTAACTAAGGGTGTGGTGTTTTGTTTTGTTTTTAATTTTGGCTGTTCTGGGCCGTCACTTCATGGCAGCGTGCAGGCTCTTCATTGCGGGGTGCAGGCTTTTCTGGTTGTGACACATGGCCTTCCCTAGATGTGGCGTTCGGGCTTAGCTGCCCCACAGCACATGCGGTCTTAGTTCCCTTACCAGGAGTCGAACCCACGACCAGCAAGGAAGTACCCTAAAGGTGTGGATTTGACGGAGCCCCAGGGTAGATGTTCTTCAGTCAAGGCAGAAAGCCAGTCCCTGCATTCATCACCAGGCGAGTGCTCTTCTCCCACTGACCTTATTCTCCTGTTTGGTTTCCCTGGTGGCTCAGAGGGTAAAGCATCTGCCTGCAATGCAGGAGACCTGGGTTCAGCCCCTGTGTCTGGAAGAGCCCCTGGAGAAGGGAATGGCTACTCACACTGGTATTCTTGCCTGGAGAACCCCTTGGGCAGAGGAGTCTGGCTGGCTAAGAGTTGGACACAACTGAGCAATTAACACACACCAAAGTAGTTTCAATGGTTGTGCATTTCTAGGGGAT